AAAATTGGAGAGCTTCTGTATCATCCAGTGTGTTATGTGCTGAAAATATTTGAGCATTTAAATATGGATCATTATAAAGCAAGTACGAACTTATATTTGATTGATTGATTCATTTTCAGTTTCACTTCTCTATCTTAGTATTATTTAGGGAGGTTTTTAATAAGGTTCCGCCAATTACCCCAATTGAAATAAGTAACGTTTTTGAACCTTGTAGTATTTCCAGATAAAATGTAGCGCCAGTTTTTGATAACTTTTCCAAACCAATGAGAAATACAAACTTAAATACTGATATTATATTAAATATGATATTATAGAATGTAGTAGAAAACGGTTATTCAATCAACTTATTTTGAATTTGCCCTTTGATTGGAATTAAGATTCACTTCAAATTAATTCCTAGATTCAAACTGGACCCGCATGTGATCTCGAATGCTGGACTTATTTAGATTTCGTTCTTGAAGTACCCTTGAAATGACAGTCAGATACATTCATCGCGACCAGTTGACCCCTGATTCGGACTAGTGAATAGAGAAACCTAAATGACATGCGGTTGAGGCCACCTGCTCGGATTCTTTTGAAAATGCCCTTGGTACGACCTTGAAGTGTCCTCGTGGAGGCAATCTAAACAGTTAGATCTGCTTGAAACTGCGCATGTATCGATAGGGAGTGTCTAGTAGTTCAGCAAAGTAATACGCTTCCTGATACCACCGCCTTCTTTGTGCGAGTTCAGAAACTTTTCAAATCACCTACTAAGAAGTCGTGATCACCCTTTTGGTGGGCGTTCTTCAAATTCAACAACGAACAAGTGGTATGATATCCCTGTCCTCAAATATGTGATGCATTACACACGCCTTCAACCATCAACTGCATCTACCAACACCCACCCTAACGGTGCAGTATTCCCGGCACGCGGCCCATAATAGAGAAGGCGTCCAGCATCGCATATAAACTGCACGTGCACGTGCCGTAACGCGCTCTGCGACTCATCCCCTGCATCTACGCACGCCCGGCGGGATGGGGTGTACACTTGCTCTCGTTGTTATTCTAAGCCGCTTATCAATCGCGCGAAGAGCTGATACGCGAAACTTGACGGAAAATTAGGGGCATAATTGGCGATTTATGGGGCGTGACAGTTCGGATTGAGTTGATAGCTGACAGGGGATGGAAATATATTATTATGTTCCAATATTTTGTATCAAGGTTTATCCAAAAATTGAAATTTTTTAGCACTAGAATTTGAAGTTTGAGTTGGAGCATTGATTAACGCATTCTATCTCTAGATAGATAACCATATACATAACAGAAACATGAATTTAGAAATCTAGAGTTAGAGCATTTGGGTTTGCTGCTGTCTCATAAATGGCGCTAGGATCTTCAATCCATTTGTGGCGCCTCTTTAATAGTAATAGTCATTTGTCACCAAAATATACAGAAGACAAATTAATGAAAAGCCCGCAGAAGGCTGGCCCTTGTGCGCGGGTAAAGAAATAGAAAAGATCCATATAATAACGATAACAACACAATAAAATCGGTTCCTTTATATATTAATGATGTATACTAAGTGACATATAAATCCGAACACCCAGTTTAAATGGTTTTATTTTAATAAAAGTTGGTGAATGTATTTATCTTACTGTAAATAACAAGCGAAAAAATTTTCAGCCTTATCAGTTGGACATTCCGGTTTTTATACTGCTTTTTTTTTTAATTCACTAACGCTCTAAAAATGAATATTTCAGCCGCAGTAAAGAATCCACGTTGGCGGATTTTGGTTCTTGACATCCTTTACGATCGGTTACGATGCCTAGAGTACGGAGACCTGTACGATTTCGTCAACTTAGTGAGTTTGATAGGGGCCGTATAGTGGGACTTCGGGAAGCTGGACTTTCTTTTCGGGCAATTGCAGTTAGAGTGCAAAGAATTGTAGACACTGTGGTTAGGTGTTGTCAGGCATGGCTTCGAGAAGGCCGTACGCAAAGAGCAAGGGGCACTGGACGCCGCCGTAGAACAACAGACCGTGAAGATCGCCGCCTAAGATAATTGGCCTTAAGGGACCGTTTCTCCACTACCAGGTCCATTGCAAATGAATGGTTTGCAGAACACGGAAGACTTATTGGCATGCGAAGTGTTTACCGACGAATGAGAAGTTTTGGCTTGTTTTCATACCGGCCACACTGGGTCCTCCCTTTAACTCGAGAACACCGACGTAATCGCCTTGAGTGGTGCAGACAACGGTCACTCTGGGATCAGGAATGGAACAGTATTGTCTTTAGTGACGAGTCTCGATTTTGTTTAGGCATGCACGATGGTCGTGCCAGGGTTAGAAGGCGACGTGGTGAAAGGAGGAATCCACAGTTTTTTGTTGAAAGACATGTTCATCACACTGTTGGAGTTATGGTTTGGGGTGCTATAGCTTATGGTTCCAGGTCACCTTTAATCTTCATCAGAGGTAACATGAACGCGCAGCGTTATATCCACGAAGTTCTAGAACCCCATCTTTTACCCTATCTTGACACCCTGGCAGATCCAACTTTCCAACAAGATAATGCCCGACCATATGTTGCAAGAGTCACAATAGACTTCTTTCAAGATAATGATGTCACATTGTTACCATGGCCACCAAAATCTCCCGACTTATCCCCAATTGAGCACGTGTGGGATATGATGGGTAGGAGATTGCTCAATTTGCAACGTCCTCCTCAGGCTCTAGAAGCACTTCGAGAGGAGTTGGTGGTTGCCTGGAATGAGATACCACAGGAGGACATTGACCACCTGATCAGAAGCATGCCTAGGCGCGTTGGAGAATGCGTAGCACATCAGGGTGCATCCACACATTATTAAAGGTCAAAGGGCTTTAAAGCAGTGCAATCATTTTGAAATTTTTATCATTTACTTATTATGCTTCATTAAGTACTTATACAAAATTTTATTAAAATAAAACCATGTAAACTGGGTGTTCGGATTTATATGTCACTTAGTATATATTGTCGGTCTCCGCATTTACAGGCGTAAACGACAAGAAAAATCTAAAATCAAGTTACCCCGTAATTTCACATATCTTTTGTAGTCTCTCACCTCGCAAAGTGACGTTACTGTATATCAGTTCGCTGCTTGGAAATAAAATTCTAAAGAAATTGAGTAAGTCTTAAAATGCCGAAAATAATTTTCACGTACCGGCTTAAATAGATTTACGGCTCTGCTAAAACTCATTTTACTTTTACAAAATTAAACCATCGCAAAACAAAGTTCTACATAATTTTAGTCTAACAAAAAAAAAAACAACAACGTGCAGACTAAAAAATCAGTATGTCACTTTCAATTCCTTATATCAGGCATATAATAAATTGTTGTTTGATTCAAAATGTTTTTCCAGAAGCATGGGGGAGTGCAGTTGTAAAAGTAATTCCCAAAAAGCTAAATCCTTCAGATTTTAATCACCTCAGAGGAATAAGCATCTTACCAGCATTGTCAAAATTATTAGAAAAAGCGGTTGAGTTGCAATTAATGGAACATCTATCAAAGTTTTCTTTGCTTTCTCCAATTCAATCTGGTTTTAGAAAGAATTTTAGCTGTACAACTGCACTTCTACATGTAACAGATGACATTATCAGAGCCACTGATCAGGGAAGGTGTACAGTTTTGATAATGTTGGATTTTAGTCGAGCTTTCGATACGATCAATTTTAATTTACTCCTAAATATATTGCATTTTATAGGCCTCGATTCGGATAGTGTCAACTTTTTCAGTAAGTATCTAAAGAGCAGAAAGCAAAAGGTTTTCTTGGAGGGAAGTTATTCTGACGTATTAGCCTTAAAATCAGGCGTGCCGCAAGGCTCTATTATGGGTCCACTCCTTTTTGCAATTTATACTTCATACCTGGGCAAAGGCTTAAATACTTGCAAAATGCACTGCTATGCTGATGACACTCAATTGTATCATACTTTTCTACCCAGTGATGTGGACATTGTGAGTGCAACCATCAACAGAGATTTATCATTATTGACAAAGAATGCCGAAGAACATTGTTTACATCTTAACTCTAGCAATTCTAAAGTAATTGTATTTGGGCCAAAGCATGCGCGCCAGGCTGTTACTAACTCAATTAACTTTACCATCAATGCACAACAACTTGAAACTGTCAGTGAAGCAAAGAACTTGGGTGTAACATTGGATGTAAATTTAAGATTTGAAAAACATGTAAATTCGCTCATTCGTAAGGTATATTCCTCTTTAAAAATATTGTACGGCAACAGACGTAACCTTCCCGTTAAAGTCAAAATAAATCTATGTGAGTCGTTGGTGCTCTCGCACTTCAATTTTTCTGATATGTTGTATGGCCCATGCTTAACTGCCACTTACAAACAAAAAATTCAGGTTGCGCAGAATTCTTGCCTCAGATTAATATATGGCATCAGAAGACGAGACCGAATATCCCATAAGTTGAAAGATGCGAATTGGTTGAACATGGAAACAAGAAGATTTTTGCATGCCGCAACATTATATCATAAATTAATTTTGTATAAGACACCCACTTACTTATTTGAAAAAGTTACATTTCGAACAGATGTGCATAACATCAATATAAGATCCAGGGGGTTGCTGACACCGCCGATATTCCGAACAGCCCAATTTGAACGATCGTTCAGCTACCAAATTTGTCCCATTTATAACACCCTTCCGGTACAATATAAAACTCTGAGCATCTCAAGTTTCAAAACTCAATTAAAAAAATATCTCTTATCCCAGCAGTAGTAACCATGTTTCAGGAAAATATTGATACAAGTTTATGATTATTTTATAGTAGATGTATTAAAATAAGCACTGCATATACATTTAGTATTTGTAATGTGTAGAATAAGTAGGTATCACCTTTTGTACAGACTTTTTTATAGCGGGTTAAGTGGAAGAGCAGCTACAGCTGAACTTCGCCCGTATTTGGCTATTTTTTATATAATCAGTCTATTTGGAAATAAAGACGTTTATTATTATTATTATTTATTGCTGATTTTCGTTTTCTAGTTCTCCTCCTGTAAAATTTGTGAAATGTTAGTTACGCCGGTACGTGCGGAGACCGACGATATGTATCAATTTAGGTGAAATTTCCATATAAGTAGATGGAATATGGACTGTACTCATGGAATTTGGTATATCACCACTAAAGGATAACCTGTGGGTGGCCATTACATCCAACTAGACCAAAACTATATTTTAAGGATTTTAAAACAAAACACAACAGACAATTGAAAATGGGTCACTAAGATTGAACTAAATTAGCGACTGATCTACCTACAACTATTTTTTGACCATATCACACACCTCCAAGGGCAAATAAAATATACAACAAATAAGATATAAGAAGAGTTGAACAAAACCCGTGAATGAAATGAAAAATTAATCAGAGAATAACCTGCAACTTCAAATGAATAGCTCGTGCCTTCTATATACCCTATGCCTATTTAACTGGGTATCTCTAGGCCAAAATACAGGTAGGCATTGCAAGTGGATTGCTTAATTGTTTTTGCTGTTCTGCTACTGTATCACAGATAGCTTTTAGGTCTTTATTTTGGACGCCCGAGTACAGTATATGGTTGGTTATTACTATAATCATGATTTCTATTTATGTTACTAGTTTTACAGATAGCAGCTGGCGCCATCTGTGAGACAATAGCATAATTAGTCTTTTTTGCGCCGTCGCGGGTGCTATCTGTGTACCGTATTTTATAGATTATTATTAGATTCTTTTTTGTTAGTGACGACATATATACAATCTCAACTCGACTGGTTACTTCAAAGTATTTTTTTTTATACCGGGAGGAGTCTAACTACCGGGGCACCGTAGCTGCTATAAGGAGCTTAAATACACTTTATAAAGCCGATTTTTGAATTACTTAAGGTCAGTAGAACTGGGAAAAGCCTCCTCAGGTAAGCTGTTCCACAATCTTGAAGACGAAGGAGTATGATAAAAGCGAATACTATTTTACAGAGTGGTAGATTATATTTCTCTTGTACGTAGAAAATATCATACCACAATCGTTTACTGGTTTGTCTGTTCAGACATAGTAGGCGCACTTTCTCGTGTACTCCCACGGCCGCTCCATTGACGATCGCCATCAGAGATCGTTATATTTGGCTGGCTCAAGTTGTGCTTACTTCTCTCACTCGTATGGATCTCATGAGATTCCTTAGGTTTTCTCATTCTTCTCTTTCTTTTGATGACCAGTTCTTCTATCTTGTAAGCACCGCCATGTTTTTTCAATAGCCCCAATTCCACACCTCTATTCAAATAGTTCGGTAGCATTTTGAAAGAATTCAGAGATTTATTAAACCTTTGCTTGATGTAGTTCTTTATGTTTCTCACATTAGCTACCAATCCAGTCTTTTGCAGGAAGGCTACAGCTCCGACCACTGCTGTAGCGCATTTGATGTTTGGTTTGAAGATGTTCTTTCTGGCTCTTTCGGTTCGTATCTCTAGTTCCACTTTTTTTTGAGGAGTTTTCTGACGCAGTTTCACTTTCGCCATGATGACACGGTAATTTTCAATAATTATTTGCTTGAATTGTGATATTTGAAAAGTAACATTGAGCAACTGTCACTACTATGACGTTTATGTCAGTCGTATTTTAGCATGTTTCAGCACACATTATGCTCGTCTACCTAGTAACAAGGAAACATTGGAAACAGGTGGTTATGCAAATTCCGAAGCAAGACAGAAAAGTTACCGGTAAGACTATACTTTAGCACATATCGCAAATACTTCATTTCTTACTTTAACATGAAATATTAGGATGTAACTTTTACGAAAATATCATTTTTTCTTTAAGGAACCCTCTGCCTGCCTTTTTATAGAACTTCGAAGTTACATTTTTGCTGGTAATACTCTAGAATAGAATACTGTTTTATATGCTGTCTTTTTTTGCTTTTTGTACAAAAGGATGCTCTAAATTATAAAAATATAACATACACTGTATAGTACTAATGGAAAGAGATGTGAAACTGTAAAAAATCGTTGTTTTTTGCAAAAAAAGCTTCAAAACCAGACGTGTTATTATATATTAGCTTATTAGCTTAAATGAGAGATCAAAATATACTAAGTGACATATAAATCCGAACACCCAGCTTAAATGGTTTTATTTTAATAAAATTTTGTATAAGTACTTAATGGAGCATAATAAGTAAATGATAAAAATTTCAAAATGATTGCACTGCTTTAAAGCCCTTTGACCTTTAATAATGTGTGGATGCACCCTGATGTGCTACGCATTCTCCAACGCGCCTAGGCATGCTTCTGATCAGGTGGACAATGTCCTCCTGTGGTTTCTCATTCCAGGCAACCACCAACTCCTCTCGAAGTGCTTCTAGAGTCTGAGGAGGACGTTGCAAATTGAGCAATCTCCTACCCATCATATCCCACACGTGCTCAATTGGGGATAAGTCGGGAGATCTTGGTGGCCATGGTAACAATGTGACATCATTATGTTGAAAGAAGTCTATTGTGACTCTTGCAACATGTGGTCGGGCATTATCTTGTTGGAAAGTTGGATCTGCCAGGGTGTCAATATAGGGTGAAAGATGGGGTTCTAGAACTTCGTGGATATAACGCTGCGCGTTCATGTTACCTCTGATGAAGATTAAAGGTGACTTGGAACCATAAGCTATAGCAACCCAAACCATAACTCCAACAGTGTGATGAACATGTCTTTCAACAAAAAACTGTGGATTCCTCCTTTCACCACGTCGCCTTCTAACCCTGGCACGACCATCGTGCATGCCTAAACAAAATCGAGACTTGTCACTAAAGACAATACTGTTCCATTCCTGATCCCAGAGTGACCGTTGTCTGCACCACTCAAGGCGATTACGTCGGTGTTCTCGAGTTAAAGGGAGGACCCAGTGTGGCCGGTATGAAAACAAGCCAAAACTTCTCATTCGTCGGTAAACACTTCGCATGCCAATAGGTCTTCCGTGTTCTGCAAACCATTCATTTGCAATGGACCTGGTAGTGGAGAAACGGTCCCTTAAGGCCAATAATCTTAGGCGGCGATCTTCACGGTCTGTTGTTCTACGGCGGCGTCCAGTGCCCCTTGCTCTTTGCGTACGGCCTTCTCGAAGCCCTGCCTGACAACACCTAACCACAGTGTCTACACTTCTTTGCACTCTAACTGCAATTGCCCGAAAAGAAAGTCCAGCTTCCCGAAGTCCCACTATACGGCCCCTATCAAACTCATCAAGTTGACGAAATCGTACAGGTCTCCGTACTCTAGGCATCGTAACCGATCGTAAAGGATGTCAAGATCCAAAATCCGCCAACGTTGATTCTTTACTGCGGCTGAAATATTCATTTTTAGAGCGTTAGTGAATTAAAAAAAAGCAGTATAAAAACCGGAATGTCCAACTGATACGGCTGAAAATTTTTTCACTTGTTATTTACAGTAAGATAAATACATTCACCAACTTTTATTAAAATAAAACCATTTAAACTGGGTGTTCGGATTTATATGTCACTTAGTATACATACATGAATGATGGTATTTACTTGATAAACTGTGTAGAGGTGTTGTTTTGTGATTTTTCAATGACTTCTGGAAATTGCTTAACCATTTTTTTCGAGTATTTTCAATGAGATCAAAGTTTTTGCGTTTATAAGTAATATTTGAAAGTACAAACAATTCTCAATGGCCATTCTATAACGCTCATTTCTTGACAGATAAGACAAATGATGTCCATTGTTGCCATGTTGTACCTTTTTGGGAGAAATACGTAATTAAAAATGAGGTTATTTGAAAAATGAAAGTCTTAATTTATTGTAAATGGCTTGTTTTATGAAAAGTTGTCCCAATATTTACCGAAAACTAGATGAAATTTTGAACAGTATATGTCTAAACAGTGGAAAATGCATCAGCGGCTCGGGTGACAAAAAATACAAAAGGCACCAGCGGTCATTGCATATAAAAATACCTAACGTCGATTCGTCGATTTGGACCACCTCGCCAGGTCCACCCAACATATCATCGTCCAACATTATAGTTAAGTAAAGATCAACGATAATTTCATCAAATCATCAAAAAACTTGCAATGTTCTTTGTTATGTTTTCATTATTTAGTGATTTGCAACAGCTACTTTTTCAGTTATTTCTCATATATATCATATTTAATTAGGTATATTTTGTAACATCAGCTTCACATTAAATAATCCTTCAAGTACATACATACAAAAAGTAAAGAGATTATAAGTATAATATACGAAATACAATAAACGAAGTACTTTTGTGAAGGGCATAAGGCATTCTTCAAAAAAGTCTCTTTAGCTAACACTATCGTAGCTCACAAGGTGGATTTAGTACAGTAAAACCTGCTGGCCACACCTCCAAATCGCATTTTCACGACAAACCAGTGCCGATTGCACATTTTTGCACTAGTATATAAGTAAGAATTTGACAAACCAAATTAAGGTATACTACTATCCATGATTTGGCAACATGGCAACTAGATGGAGAGAATATGACAGTGATGGTGGTGTAGTGATGGGAATAATTATCTGAAATGAAAGAAATGACTACTTAACAATGAACTATTTTCATCATTAAAAATTGCATTATTACGATGAACAGTATCACAGTAACTTACAGTGTATATTATATTCATATAATTTCGAACAATCTTTTATATAAACAAGAAGAAAACAGGATGGAAACGGAATACTTGGGAATCAAACTGTCAAGCTATGGAAAAGTGGAAGAAGTACAAAAACAAGTGAACATGGTGAACAGAGAAGCAGGATGTCTCAACAATACAATCTGAAGAAACAAATACCTCACAACGGAAACGAAAACTAGGATATATATAAATCAACAATAAGACCGATAATGACGTACACATCGGAAACAAGAGCAGATACTGTGAAAACACAAAGATTATTGGAAACAGCATAAATGAAAGTCTTACGAAAAATAATAAACCAAACTCAAAGAGACAGAGTAAGAAGTGAGGAAATACAAGCGAGATGTGGTATAGAGGAAATAAACCTGTGGACCAAAAGAAGAAAAACAGAATGGAATCAACACATAGAAAGAATGACAGAAAATAGAACAGTACGAATAGCAAGAGACAAATCGCCAAATGGAAGAAGATCAATGGACGACCGAGGAAAAGATGGTCAGACAGCATCAATTGAGGCTAAAAACCGAAGTAAAACAGGCATCAGCCTATTAATAAAGTAGGAGGAAGAAGAAGAAAACAGCTTATACAGCAGTATTCTATACCACAATATTAGCACCCAAAATGCAAATTTGAAGTTCTATAAAATAGCGAGCAGAGGGTTCCTTAAAGAAAAAATGATATTTTCGTGCAAGTTAGATCCTAATAAAAATAGTTCAGCCAAGTTATCTTTCTCTGAAATCATTAAGAACGTTAATGTGCACTGTAAAGTTTTTTTCTTGACAGATGGTTTATCGTGATATACATGTCGTAAAACATCCAAAAATATTCTATTTCTATAATTTTCTCGATTATAATGCTTTATCGCCAGTTTGGAGTAACTTTTCTCATCTATTCTTAACAATCTGACCACGAACCACAGTAGCTCCGCCTAAGTTAAGGTTTTGGATTTTAACGCAGTCCGTATTGTCATTTGTCATTTTTACAGCAACAGCGGGCTTAATGGCGAAAAAGAAAACACAAAAATGACATAAATCAATCAAGTGATCTAATCGCTTCGCCTGAGATTGTGGGTACTGACTTAAGAATCAAATTTCGTTGACAAGATGGAAGTAAGCTTTTAACTACAAGGCACAGAAGGACGAATGACTAATCTAGGTGGACAAAATTAAAACATGGAAATCTAAAACCACTGAGTATTTAGCAGGGAATATGTGCAGATACTATTCAACCACTCAATGTTTTTTTGATAAAAAAGCTTGGTTCCTTTGCATTCTTCCCACTTAAGCTTTATTCTGGAAACTACTTTTCAGAAAAACCGTTGAAAATTTATCGGATAATTGCTGCAGATTTGAGCTCATTTCTTTACAGCTGCCACAGTTCAAATAGTTCCCTACGAGGTATGCAGACTTCAGTTTCTGAAATAAAAAATACACCCGCACTAGTAAATAATAGAGATTCTCTGTTTAATATGTGAGTCAGCATAATATTTTATTGTTTCAACATAAAATTTTCTGCGGTAGTCCGTAGAAGTATCAAGTAATGTTTTTTAAACTTTGTTTTTATCATGAGGTCACGCGATCCAAATCGTGGTTGTTTGGCCGCCATATTTAAAAATACCTATACAACAGTTGTTCAACATAAGGTATGTCCTAAAAGTTTTGGCACAAAATATTTATCGGATTTTTTTAATGAAGAAATTTATTTGAATACTAACTACTTATTATGAATTATAACTTAATACTCAACTAAACTGTACTGTCGAATTATCTGGAATAGCCATTCTGATCTACCAGACTCAACTTTCTTGGAATGTCGCTCATGAGGTCCTGTACGGAATTCAGATCAATTTCTCTCAGTTTTTGGTAAATTCGCCATCTTAATTGTCCTTTAGTTTGGGCTTCCTAGCCTCCACGATAAACCTTCCTAAACAGTAAAGCTAAAAAATCCTC